TGGAGTACGACAGGCCGCGGTGTAGAGGAGGGGACCTTAGGAACATAACGCTTTGGCCAGACCGGGTGCAAAGTCGAGATAGGAAGGGGCCACTGAGAGGGCCTGCAGATCCCCCACTCTCTTGAAAGAAGATATCGCCAGAAGAAAGGTAGTCTTGATAGTGAGATGGCGATCAGAGATCTCCTCGATAGGCTCGAAGGGAGGCCTACAGAGAGCTTCTAGCACCACAGCCAGGTCCCACGTGGGGGCACGAGATCGTACCGGAGGCCTCAGCGCACCGCGGAGGACTGACTGGCCACCGAGAGGGGCATGGTAGGCCGCAATGGCCACCACGTAGACCTTCAGGGTGGAGTGGGTCAAGCCTGCGGAGAATCGGGCCTGCAGGAAGTCCAGTACTGTACCAACCGGGCAGTTAACTGGGTTGAGCTGGCGGTCTCCGCACCAAGAATTGAAAAGTTTCCACTTCAAGGCATACAGTTTCCTTGTTGAGGGAGCTCTGGATTGGAGGATTGGAGGATGGTCTCAACAACCTCGGTTGAGAGACCGGAAGCTATGAGTTGTGCCCCCTCAGGGGCCACACCGACAACTTCCACAGCTCCGGGCGGGGGTGGATGATCGTACCCTCCCGCCTGTGAGAGGAGATCTCTCCTGATGGGAATCTCCCATGGAGTGCCGTCGAGGAGAGAAATCAGGCCCGAGAACCATACTCGGCTGATGTAAGAGACCACCGCTGTGTTGTCGGTGCGCACCAACACATGGTGACCTCTCAGGTCTGGGAGGAAGTGTCTTAGTGCATGCAGCACGGCCAGCATCTCCAGACAATTTATATGCCATGTCAGATGGCGACCACTCCACAGGCCGCGGGCAGGGTGGCCACTCATGACCGCAACCCAATCCGGTGAGGGATGTGTCCGTCGCTAGCATTACGTGGCGACAGGGAGCATGACCAGAGCCTGCTCGGGGCCCACCAGCGTGGGCGTAATCCCGGTGAAACGAGGCGGAGGAGAACCAAACTGGATTCTGTAGCCTTTCTCTACAGTATGCAGGACCTACTGAGACACATTTGGCAGTAGTTTCCACCTGCCAAAAAATCTACTAAGGGAATCAGTCTCTCGAGACTGACCACTGGTGTAATGAGAGCAGCTAGCTCAGTGCCCTGTAACGGCGGACCGGCAGGAGACAACCGAACCAGCTGCTCTAGAGACTTCCGCGGAGGTGGCGAGCCTCTTAGGCAAGGCAAGGCCAGGCAAGTTTATTTGTATAGCACATTTCATACACAATGGTAATTCTTAGCACCGCTACATTCCCGGGCGGTAATGCGGTGAAACCCGCTCCACCCCAGAGGTGCCTGCCCTCATGAGTCCTGGGCCAGTGGCATCAGGACTTCTTGGCTGAGGACCTCTTAGTCTTAAGTACGGTCCGCAGATCCGGCTTAGACTTCGAGGCTCCCAACCCAGAGCGTCGCTTTAACTCGCGGTCCCGACACGGAGGAGCACGTGAGGCAACGCTCTGTTTTTGTGCCTCCCTGTATGAGGAGCTGGTACTCGGAGGGGGCTGCTCCTGCCCAGCAGAGACAAATCAGCGGTCCTCCTGAGCTCAGTAATATTTTCTGATTTTATCTGCTCACGCTCATCTAGCTCTTTAAGCAGGTCGGCTTGGTACACCTGTAACACCGCCATGGTGTGCAGACACGCACCAACCTGACTCGCTGCTGAGTACCCTTTGCCCACCAGCGCTGATGTAGTTTGTAGCGGCTTGGAGGGCAATGCCGGAGCCTTTAAAGACGACGCCGCGTCAGGCAACAGATAGCTTGCGAGCGTCTGTTCTACCCGGGGCATCATCTTATAACCGCGCTCACTCATCCCCACCACATAGCCATAATAATCGGAAGCGGGGATAAAGAGGCAGGCCGAGAAGGGTCTTCCCCACAACCTCGACACCTCGGTGTGGAGGTCGGGGAAAAAAGGCAGGCTCCGGCACGGAGGGGGCAGCTTAACACGCAGAAAACGCTCATCCAATTTACTCTTCTGCGGCTCAGCCATTTTCTCAGCGGGCCAATCGATGTTTAACTTGGCCACGGCACGAGTTACCATCTTTAGTTTTCATCTGCTCAAGCAGCACATTAATGTCATCTTGTGCTTCAGCAAGGTAACTCTGGCTAAAACTAGCTAACGTTAAAGTTAATGAGTCCATACAAACCTAAATAGCGGACTGTTCTCGCGTCTTGTACAGTGTATGGCAAAAACACATAAACGAAGGTCTCTTCGTATTAAACTGGTTAAATGTAAATTAATTTAATCGTACCCTGCGATACATGAACAGTGTTGATCCAGGATGTTGTTATCTGCGGTCATGACGAACGTAACATGAGGCTTCTCCCGCTTGCATTGTGATCTGTAAACCCTCGCTTCCAAATTAATACCCACAATATTTATTTTTAAATCTTTTATATATCCCTCCATGGCATATTTAAGTCCCATTGGAATGGTAGTCCTTCTGTGTCCAAAATTATCAAAAAGATATAGGGGACAAGGTTTTCACACTGACAGCTGTCATTGTAAGACAGTTAGCAACTCCGTTTGTTTGTCCGAGTTCGCAACAGTAACTAGGGGGGCGGGGCTTACCGATAGGTCAATTGGGTAAGACATGGGAAAACACAATCAGTCCCATATACAGTGCCACTTGAAAGTTTGTGAACCCCTTGCAGAATCTGTGAAAATGTAATTTTAACAAAAATAAGAGAGATCATACAAAATGCATGTTATTTTTTAGTACTGTCCTGAGTAAGATATTTTACATAAAAGATGTTTACATTTAGTCCACAAGACAAAAAAATTGCTGAAATTATTAAAATAACCCCATTTAAAAGTTTGTGAACCTTTTTTTCGAAAAAAAAAAAAAAAAAAAGTTTGGTTCTTAATACTGAAAATACCTGGATCATCCACGACTGTTTTTTGTTTTGTGATGGTTGTTCATGCCCTTACGAAAATTAACCATGGTTTTACTATAGTAAAACTGTAGTTAACCATGACTGTAGTAACCATGTTTTTTTTGGTGCGAACCATGGTTTTAAAAACCATGGTTCAAGTACCACAAATTAACTATGGTTGTAATACCATAGTTTAATCATGGTTTTACTATGGTTGTATTACCATAGTTTAACCATGGTTTTACTAAAGTACCTCAAAATACTATAGTAAAACTGTAGTAAACCATGACTGTAGTAACCATAGTTTTTTGGTGCGAACCATGGTTATAATACATGATTGTATTACCATAGTTGTAACATGGTTTTACTAAAGTACCTCAAATTACATTTAAGCCTAATTATTTAACAAGCATTTACAAAATAAATACAGAATGACAAGTTACTATTCTATGATACAGGCTTTATTACAGCAGTTACATCATCTGAAAGAAAATATGAACTGTTGCAGTTGTTCTCACATGACAAAATGATTCAGAACTATGAACTACAACTTTATTAAAAAAAATGGTGATAAAGCACTGCAGTGGTAGAGATGGTTTTCTGCTAATTTACAAAATAAAAATGGCAAATTGTTTCACTGTAATAATGCATTATCTCTATAGAAATTAATTACATGTTGTACAAATAAACATGACTTAGTGCACATACACAGCATTATACCGCCTACCTCCTTTACAATACCTTATGTAGGGCTGCAACTAACAATTTTTTTGATAATCAATTTATCTGTAGATTATTTTTTTATTAATTGGATGACAAAAAAAATCTAAAAAAATATGCATTATTTTTTAATTAGAATAATTTTAATCCATTATTTTAAACAATGTCATTTCACATCCTGCCTATGAAAACAAATATAATGAATGCATCTATGTAGGCTCTGCTGTACATTATAAGCATTAAAGAGTTAAAATACAAACATTACATTCTAAACCTAAAAACAACAGATTGCTTGCTGTTTTAAAACAATTTAAAACAATTTAAACAAAAACACAAAATGTTAACTTGTGCGAGGAACAAACACTATCATTCGTCTGAACAGAGTAATTATATTATATTAATGGACAATTAATAGTCCAACAATAGTGCCTTTACTGTTACTGCTCTCATAAATAGGATTACTTGTGTTACATGTAGGGTTTTAAACCTACACTTAATTTTTCTAACAAAAAATATTTTAGCAAAATGTGTATTTTCGTCAGAATTATGAGCGGTCTGTATGTTTTGATGCACTAATCAAATTCGTTGACGGTTATTTTCATTATCGATTAGTTGTTGCAGGCCTAGTTTTATACAACCTGGAAACACAAGCCCAACACAGGCAGATGTGTGCAGTCCAAAGGGTGCATCAAGGTCGCATTAACAACCTTGATTACAATATCAATAAAGGGAAAAAAAATTTTATTGGAAAAGTTTTACACATACTACAAAATACATTCACAAGAAATGAGAAGTACTTTTAAGAATGTTTAAAATTATATCAACTC